GGGTATTTTCCCATTGATTTTAGGGAGAGTAGAAGGGAGAGGGAAAGACAGAGAGAAACGTGGATGTGAGAGCAAACACATCGATGGGTTGCCTCCTGCACGCACCCTGACGAGGGCCCGGGCCAGGGAGGAGCCTGCCACCCAGGTACATGCCCTTGACTGGAATGGCACCCGGACCCTTAGGTCGGCAGGCTGACACCCCATCCACTGAGCCACACCGGCTGGGGCCATCCTTCAGGCTTTAGCACCTCGCTTGCTACACTCTCTTGTACAGAGAGAGCAGGTAGCCGTTGATAGTCTCTAGATAACGTTTAAAGGCACATTTGTTTTCAATACACTTACTTTTCAGTAAACTCTCTTTAGCAAGTGGTACTATTCCCATTCTGCTGGTGAGCACACCCTTTCCCTTTTAAGGAACTGTGTCCAAGGAAAAGTGAGTCTGTGCAAGAACAGCACAGGTGCAGACAGACCCGCAAACACCAGTGATACTCAGATGACTAAAGGTTGGGAAATACTGACCTATATTATTTCATCCAATTCCATCACCCCTGGAGGTTGCAGATAAGCAACTTGACCTTGTAGAAGTTAAGCAACTTATCCAAGGTCATCCGTCCCAAAGGTACCTGACCCAGCCCAACCTCACAGAGCTCGGTCTGCAGGGAGGGCCAGCGCATCTGTGACACAGACAGCACAGCGGTCCCGGGAGGGAGGAGTGCAGGGCTGCGAGAACAAGGAGAGAGGGGGCTGTAGGAACAGAGAAGGGGGCTGCGGGAACAGAGAGAGAGGGGGCTGTGGGAATAGAGAGGGGGGGTACGGGAACAGAGAGGGTGGGGCTGGGGGAACAGAGAGTGAGGGGGTGCGGGAACAGAGAGGGTGGGGCTGGGGGAACAGAGAGTGAGGGGGCTGTGGGAGAAGGGGGGCTGCGGTCAGCTCCCCAGAGGGCGGGCGGGGAGGTAAGGAGCATTCCTGAGAGGGAGGGCGATGAACTCGAGGCACTGCCTGAAGCAGAGGTGGCAGCACAGAGGACTCACTCTGAGAAACCTTGGTGAGATGGTTCCTCCAGAATCAGTCACCGGCCGCGTCTGCCCAGCATGACCCTCAGCCCCTCTGTCACCCCGAAGCCTACGCCGCCCTAAGGGTATACGCAGAGGCCACTTGCTTGGCGCACCCATGGGGGTTATTTAGATGGAACAGAGTTTCACATCAGCAGGAAGAGCTGTATTGCAGGGCTAGGGGGGAGCTTGGAAAACTGGGCTGGAAGCTGGAGTGTTCATCCCTGTGAGGACAGAAGCCAGGACGCCCTGAGGACGCACCGCACCCAGAGCTGATGGTCCCAGAGAGACTCGTCGTCCTGAGGGGTCACATGGCCAGCCAGTGGCCAAGGAAGGGCAAGCACCAAGACTGTATTCAGTAGGAGAGGGTCCCCCAAAGACAAGCTGGCTGTTCCCTGACCCCCAGCACAGGTGCGAGGGCACATGACAGTGGATGTCCCTCTACTTGGTGGCCGGTCCTAAGCCTTCTCCTCTCTCTCATGTGCCTGTGGCCAGACAGGAGAGAGACCGGCCAGCCCCGCCCTGTGGTGGGTGAACGGCAAAGGGGGCGAGGTGAAGTGGAGCTTCGGGGAGCTGGGCATCCTGTCCCGAAAGGCCGCCAACGTGCTCACCCAGCCTTGCGGCCTTGCGAGAGGCGACCGAGTGGCGGTCATTCTGCCCCGAGTCCCGGAGTGGTGGCTGGTCAACGTGGCTTGTATGCGAACAGGTCAGTGTCCACATTTAACTTTTGTAAACCAGACAGAACAGAGCGAGACTGGAAGGTGAGGTTTTTCTGAATAGTTAGTTCTGACTGAAGCAATGCTTACAAGGACAGCAAAACCAGAGCTGAAACTAAGGGCAACCATGGCGTAATAATAATAATAAAACTGCCGTAGTAATAACAATAAACTACCTTAATAATAATAACAATAGTGAACTACCTTTGGTAATTATGACATTGTTGTTTTGCAAGAGAGGAAACTGAGGTTCAGAGAGGTTACGAAGTTTGCCCAAAGCCACACAGCTAGAAAGCGATGCCATTGAGATCAAACACAAAGCTCTCCCAAAGCCAGTGTGCGTGCCGACGCCTCTTCGCAGGGCTGGACTGTGAAGTGTTTGCCCGGGTGACCCAGAAATTCGGTCTCTGGTATCTGAATTCTCCCTGATGTGAAAATACAAAAGGAGGCGAAGGCATTCTAGAAGGCAAGGGCTTGTGGGAATATGACCGTGGACCCAGCTGGAAAACCTCTGCCTCTTTCCAGACAAGAAGGCGAATGCACTCAATGGCACGTTTCTCCCAGGGAGTCCCTCCCACTGCACCCCGACTCCACAGGGCTCTTTTCTCCTCTAGGACAGACGTCAGCAAAACCATGGCCTATGAGCTCGCCATCTATTTTTGTTTTGTTTTTTGTTTTTAAATATATTTTTATTGATTTCAGAGAGGAAGGGAAAGGGAGAAAGAAATAGAAACATCAATGATGAGAGAGAATCATTGATGAGCCCTTGACCAGAATAGAACTGGGGACCCTTCATTCTGAGGGCCGACACTCTATCCACTGAGTCACACCAGCTAGGGCTGGCCATCTATTTTTGTAAATAAAGTTTTACGGTTAAATGGAACGCAGCCATGCTCATTCATTTACATACTGTCGGTGGCCCTTTGCGTTCTACAGCAGCAGAATTTCTCATTGAGACAGAGATGCTTCTTATGGCCACAAAGCCTAAAATATCTACTACCCGGCCCTTTACAGAAAAAGCTTGCCAATTCCTGCTCTAGAACATGGCCTACATGTTATAAATCAATGAACAATAAGAAGGAATATAGTTCTGTAGAGAACACACAGATGTTTGTTTCAATGGGGTCAAAAATAGAAAAATTTAGAAACAGCTACATAAAGATGATCAAATAAATTATAACTGACCTGAGACTAAGGTTTCGTGGAGATGTGTTCATTGCTAATTGAAATTACAGTGCCTCAACTGGATGGATGTCATTCAAGAGAAATTATAAGGACGTCATCTTGGTGTTTAAAAAAATGCTCTTACTGCTCATGTTAAATCAAAACAGCAATATATAAAATTAATTCCACATTCACTATAAAAAGGAACTTGCAAATGTGAAACCAGTTGTGGGTTGGAGGTGTTAAAGGTGGTTTATTTATGTCATAAGAATGTGTTTAGCATTACTTAACATGATTTATGCAATTTGTGAATTGTGAAGATTAAAAGTCAACCCACAAACTCAATAGTCAAAAACATTCAGTTCATTAAATGTTAAGCAAGCAGCTGATTGTTTCCTAACAAAGTTGTTACGTCTTCTGCGTGAAGATGGAGATGCTTGCACACACCCCGTGGCAACGTGTTCTCCTGTTGCTATAAAGTGTGTTCGGTCTGCGATCGGCCAGAGCAGCACCCCCTCTGCCCCGTGGAACCCGTCGCCGTCACAACGCCCCTGAGAGTGTTAACAGTTTCTGAGCTGATCAGATCAAGTGGTTTGCAAACTAAATAATCTTATGTTTTTGTATTGAGTGAACAATCTGAGATCCTCTAAGGCAGCGGTTACCAACTGGTGGTCCGTGAGGTCCGAAAGGTTGGAGACCGCTGCTCTAAGATGCTTTCTGGGGTTTTTAAATATATTTTTTTTTATTGATCAGAGAGGAAGGGAGAGGGAGAGAGAGAGAGAAACATCAATGATGAGAGAGAATCATTGATCCCCTGCCTCCTGCACGCCCCCTACTGGGGATCAAGCCTGTAACCCGGGCATGTGCCCTGCCTAGGAATGGAACCCGGGACCTCCTGGTTCATAGGTCAACGCTCAACCACTGAGCCATACCAGCCTGGCTCTAAGGTGTTTTCTTACTTCCTCTTCATCACATATTTACCTGTCTTCTCAAGAGGAGATGAGATGTAAGAGCTTTTAAAATATATTCTTTAAATAAAGTCTCCTTCTTAGGAATTCAACTCTACCTCCTCCTATTTAGCTGGGACTCACCAGGAAATAAGTCTCGGGTCGGGTACAAGTCTTGGGAGTCTCAGAGACGAACCTCGAATCCTGGTGCTGCCACTGACGACTGTGTGGCCCGCAGCCAGTGGCCCTGTCGTCAGTGGGACTAATTTTAAGTGAGACACCAAGCACATAATAAGTGCTCAGTCAATGAGAGTGGCTCTTCCCACACACGCTGCTTCCTTCCCGTTGACTCACTTCAGACAGAACAAACCGCCTTTCACCTCCTCCCCCCTTCTCCGCTCATAGGAGCGGCCGCCTCCGGCCAGAGTCTAGGATGGCGTGAGGCGTGGGGTGAGCTCAGCCTGAGCAGTGCATGAGGCCGACTCTGCCGCTCACCAGCCCATCTCATAGGCCACCACTGGCAGCCACTGCGACCCACGCAGCTGTGTGGAACAGTGGACTCCAGGCTTTTCTGGCTACGCAATTTACCAATAAAAATATTTGGGACACACTGCCCCGACTTGCATGGCGGGGTTCAAGATCTGCAGGAGGGGCCGATGCACAAATGGAAATGCTAGACAAAAATATGAAAATAGAAGGCACTGGGGCCGGGTAGAGACCTCTCTCTAGGCCAGACACACTGAGCCCTGGCCTTGTCCGCTTTTGTTCAGTGTTAGACACACATCTTGCCGTCAGTAAAGCACGGCAGGCACGTAGCAGACAGAGCGTCTCACAGGTCAGTAAGGTCAGTAAGGTCCAGTAGACATTTACTGGGAGGCTATCAGGTCAGGAGATTGCTTCGAGCCACCGCGATCTCAGCAGAACCATCGGCGCCTAGCGTCAGCCCTGCTAGCGCTCAAGGCGCATGGGCCTCCCGCGCCCTTGTGCACCCTCCTGACAGTGCTGTAGGCAGTGGCTTCCGGCAGCACACACCCCCCATCTGGATACAGCTATGTATACTGTAATATAACGTGCATGTTCTAAAATATGTACAAAAGTGAGGTAAAAAGAATTCTAACATTTCAATAATTTTTTTTAAATTTTAAATTCTTTTCTCATTCCCTGTGGATTATCTTGCAAAACTCACTTTGGGGACCGCTGGTTCGAAGTGCCCGTGAGAGTGTGTTAGAAGCCCCAGCGCGATGTACGTGTGACATGATCGTGATGAAAATGGCACACAGCAATGGCCCGCTGTTGTGATGCCTCCTTATGCCAGACACCATTACTTCCCCCATTTCACCGATCAGGAAAGGAAGGCACCGAGAGACCCAGCAACATGCTCCAGGTCACAAAGGCAGGAAGGCGAAGGACAGCTCCCCAGGCCCAGGGCCTGCCAGCCTCTGAGCAGGGCTCTAGGACCCCCCACCCCCCAGGGCCAGGGTCCTGCGGGGACCCTGGGGAGGGCAGGCGGCCACAGTCTCACCCAGGGGACCACAGTCCCGCTCAGCGGGGGCCTCTCCTTCCCAGGGCTTGTCTTCATGCCGGGCACCACGCAGCTGACCGCCAAGGACATCCTCTACCGGCTGCGGGCCTCCAAGGCCAGGGGCCTGGTGGCCAGTGAGGAGGTGGCCCCAGCAGTGGAGTCCATCGTGTCCGAATGTCCTGACTTGAAGACCAAGCTCCTGGTGTCTCCGCGCAGCCGGCCGGGGTGGCTCAGCTTCCAGGAGTTATTTCAGTGAGTACCTCCCCCCCCCCCCGCCCCCCGCTCTCGGAGTCTCCTTGCTCCGAGGACTCAGCAATACTGTGCGTTGATCTGGGATCCTTCCCAGAAGAGAATAGCCCGCTGGAAGGTCCTAAGGACGAAAGGGAGGGGTGCAGCTCTGTGTCCTTTCCCTGCGCCCCCCCTCGGCCTGTGGTGAGTGCCCTGCACGGTGACCCTTGCCTCCCTCGAGGCCCACACTGCCCATACTCTCCCTGCCTGAGGCCTCTGGCCTCCCTTTTATTCCTCAACCACGCCCTACCTCAGGGCCTTTGCCCGGCTGTCTCTCCTGCCTGGATGCTCTTCCCAGTCCTTCCTGTCAGATTTCAGCTCGAATGTCTTCCCCTCCATGAGCCGTCCCTGGCGCCCATCCAGGCAGGAGTCCACGCCACTCCCGAACGTGGGTGCTGTTCTCTTCACGGCCCTCGACGCTCCCTGAATATCGTGCCCCATCACTTTCCCCGTTTACTGGTTTTCTCCTGTACCGCAGAGATGGGCAAATTAGGGACCATGGGCCAATTCTGGCAGGACACCTGCTCTTGTAAATAAAGTTTTATTGGAACACAGCCACACGCATTGTCTACACATTGTTCACGTCTTACCAGAGCCAAGTTGAGCAGATGCAACAGGGACCTTAAGGCGCACAAAGCCTGAGACGTTACGTCTGGCCTCTGCAGACACGGCTCGCCGACTCCTGCCCCCAACTGAGCCCACGAGGGCAGAGGCTGTTTTTGGTCACTCTGCCCCTGTTCCCCACTTAAGCTGGCGCTTGAACAGTGTTCACCGAAGGAATGACCAGAACCGGTCACTCCCTTCACTCCTTCACATGTGAAATGGGGTGATGCCCTGCACAGTGTCTCAGGGGGCTGAGGCCATCGCTCGTGTGAGAAAGTGGTTCCTAAACTGCAAAAAGGGGCGCGAAATGCTAATGGGTGGTCTGATCCTTCAAACAGCTGTTAGATGGCTCATGTTGAAAAAAATCATTCTGTAGAAATTTATAGGAAAAGGCATGAAACCCCGTAGAGTAACAGCAGTTTCCTTTGTGGGAATGAAGTTTTATCCGACTAGTGAATATAAACCAAGTCCGATTGGCCATCCCCAACCCTCTCCCCAGGGCAGGCCAGGGATGCTGTTGTGTGTTTTACTAGTATAAGCTGTCGCTGTGGCTCATCAGGTGACATCGCTGAGCCTGTGTCTCTCCGGAAAGCAGGGGGCGGGGCCTCCCTCGGGGTGTGGAAGCGGCGGGTGGCGAAGCGCGTGCAGGGCAGGAGCCGGGCGCGGGCCAGTGGTTACCGTCACCTCCTGCCGTCTTCACATCGAGGTCCTCGCGCGCAGGCCCTGGCCGCAGCTTCAGAGGCCTGCTGCACACCCCCTTGGGAACGTGTCTGTAACACGCTCCCCGACACACGTGTGTGCACCTGTTTACAAATCAGGACCATGTGCTTCTGTGCATCACACGGGTGTAAAAAAGAAACATGTGAAAGGACTAGTCACAGACTACATGCAGCTCGGAGTTCTCCTGTTTTCCTCCAAGGCAGCCCCAGCTGCACGCAGACCCTGGCACCCCGCACCCCTGCGCCAGGGACCCCGTCTTCAACAGCCTGCAGCGTGCGGCTAGGCCCCGGGAACCTTAAATGGGCCGCAAAGCTGACAGAAGAAAAATGTCTTTGAACTCAAGCAAAGTTAGCGTGGGAAACTTCACACTGGGAGTGTTTGCAGGACAAAGGGAATACCCACTTGAATGAACGACTTTGGCGTGTCACGCTCCAAAAGGGCCACAGACTGTTTCTCTGAGAGCCACAGAACGGAGAGCCGGCCTTACCGACACAGGCCAGTGGTTCAGAAATCCACACCCAGCAAGAGCCGGCTAATTTCGAGTCATTAGGGTCAATCTCCTGTGAAGGAGCTCCCCTCCTTCTGCCTCCCAGGGACAGAAGTCGTGAACACCTGCCAGGATATTTACAACAGGATGTGGAAAAGGTCAAATTATGGGCCAGACCGAGTTTCTCCTTTCCCCTCCTGGGAGCAAGGGCCCTTGGCTGCGGGTCCGGACCCCTGGATTCTGTCTTGGGGACTGGAACAGCTCCCGGCAGAGGAACCGCACAGCAGGGTGGACGCTGAAAATGCCCTCGGGTGTGCAGAGCATGGGTGGCTGGGGCACGAAGCGTGACCCCCCGCGAGGCAGGGGCTGGTCCTCCTAGGACCTCACCTGCTCAGTCTTGACCTTCACCCTACAAACAAGGGAGGCAGCTGACGAGTTTTTGGAAGGGACGTGTCAGGTCAGCCTGGTCTAGATGGCGTTCTCCGGCAGCCGCCTGGAAGGAGGAATTGCGGACCAAATTGGAGTCAGAGAGACCGTCCTGGAGCCTCAGTCGGGGCGGACGAGGAGCGTCTGACTGGTGAGTGGGACGGAGGGAGGAGGCTCAAAAGCCCAGCAGGACCTGGAGGTTGGTTGGACCTGGAGGATGAAGGCAGGCGCCCAGCTGACCTGCTGGTTAATGGGGGTGACTTCGGGGTGGCTCCCGTCGGGAGAGAGAGTGTAGAGTGGGGCAGGCTGAGATGGCCTGTGACCATCCGGATACCCAGCAAGTGGAGATGTGAGTCAGACCCGAGGAGATAAAGGTGCAACTCGACATCGTCAGCATTTAATCGGTTCTGAAGGATCCGGAAGGCTATGACTCAAGCCTCCGAGAAAGGGAGGCACACCTTGGAGTCCTGCTGGGAAATCGCCGGTCACTCACAGACTGTAATCGCACTTCTTTTAGTGAAAAAGAATGAAAAGCCTTCTCTCCAAGCGTCTTTAAGCGGCTTGAGAAGCATCCGGAACGGGAGGTGTTGTGTTCACAGGACCGGACGCCGTGCGCCGCTGCACCCTCTGAGCCCGATCTTTCCAGAGACTGAAAGGAGCCGACGCCGTGGATGAGGTTGTGTTCCGTTCTGTTTCTTACTTTTTGGGGGAAGAGGCAAGTTAGCAAGAAAACCACTTTCATGTTTTATGAAACCACGTCGGACAGTATAGCGGGTGGCCATATGGTCAGTCCTCACTGTTTGCGGTCTCAATGGCCGTCTTATTCGCTCGTCAAGATGAATTAAAATGGTGTCCTCAGCCCTGTTCCCTTCAGCCCAGGAAATTGAAACTACGATTCAAGAGTCTCACGGGCTTGGAAGCATTTTATCGGTTATCTACTGAGGAACAAAACTCAGTATCAAAGAGCGACCCCCTCTGCTCAGGACGCTGGGCTGGCGTCCTCGCAGGCTCCACAGGCAGTGGGCACCCGCGGGGCTGGGCGGCGGGCCAGGCTCTGCCCCGCGGCCTCTCTCTCAGGGGCACCTCTGAACGTTCTCAGTGATGCCTGCTCCCCCCAGTGAAGGTGAACGTGAAGCCGTGAGCGAGGCCTGGGCCTGGCGCCAGCCCCGCCTGCGGGGAGGACCAGGCGGAGGCCTGCGCGGGGCTGCAGAGCAGCCACCGGACAGCGGCTCAGTTAGAGGACACTTGGCTTAGCAATGGGAGAGCAAGCAAAGCGCGCGAACAACGCCGCCTTCTCACGCGGTGGGGCTGTGGTGAGAGCAGGCTGAGTGGTTTGATGATTGACAAGGGTCCAGTTCACTCGTCTTCCCACCAGGCCCCCTGGGTGTCTGCCAACCCCGGGGGACCCCAGCATGGCTGGGTAGTCCCAGACCCAAAGGCCAGAGAACAAGACGGGGTGGGGGTGGGGGCAGCAGCCCTTCCTCCTGGCTCTTTCTAGAACAAGGAAACGGTCCCCCTAAAGCCTGAGTCTCTCTGGCCCGGACTGCGTCTTGTGCCCGTCCCTACACCATGTTCTGCTTAGGCTAACCAGACTCAGCCCCGCCCCTCCCGACCCCCGGGCCCCACGGAAGCACATGGCTGCCACAGCCCTGACACAATCAGTTTCACCAATGCAAGGAGGATGGGATCTCTCTGGTAAGCAATTAACTGTGTCTGTCAGCGCTATTGAAGATATTAAATAAAAACTATTAAAAACTTGTATTCTAATACCAAAGATCTTCCTTTAAATCATAAAAACTCCTGAAATGCTAATAACAATTTATAAAGATTCAAAACGTAAAAAAATTCATAGATTAAAAACACACTGAGAAAAAAATGTTTAAATAAAGTACACATCTCTTTTAAAAAATATTTTTATTGATTTCAGAGAGGAAGGGAGAGAGAAAGAGAGATAGAAACATCAATGATGAGAGAGAATCATGGATCAACTGCCTCCTGCACGCCCCCTACTGGGGATAGAGCCTGCAACCTGGGCCTGTGCCCTGACTGGGAATTGAACCGTGACCTCCTGGTTCATAGGTCGACACTCAGCCACTGAGCCAGGCCAGCTGGCATCTCACTCTTTTTTTTTTTTAAATTGAAAGTGACCTTGGCCATGCCTTTGGCCTATGGGGCGGTGGAGCTTAGAGAGAGGTAGCTGTTACCCTCAGCACTGGTCTGCACAGCCCCTCTCGGGAGGCTTTGGATAGGGTTCTGCCCTATTAACTGTTTTCGGGACCAAGAGGGCATAAGTAGGAGCAAAAGGACGCCAGAGCTGAGCCGGGTTGCCGTCGTCAGCCACATCTGGTCCATGCCTTACAGATGCGCTTCCGCAGAGCACAGCCGTGTGGAGACGGGCAGCCGGGAGCCGGCGGCCATCTACTTCACCAGCGGGACCTCGGGCTCGCCCAAGATGGCCCAGCACTCCCACAGCAGCCTGGGCATCGGGTACACGCTCTGTGGAAGGTAGGAGGAACCGCTGTCTCTGCCAGCCGGCCCTGGGCTGTTGACTCGCGTCTCTAACGGCCTCGCTGACACCCCTGCTTGCGTGGATACCTCCATGTAACATGTACAAAACAGCTCGCGGGGCCCCTGCCAACCTGAGCTCCGTGAGCGGCCGCTCGTCAGGCCGGAGCTCAGGAACCCGCCCGGCTCAGTCCCCACGGGAGACTCCGTCTGGCTCCTCCTCTCCGCCAGGTACATTGACGCGCCCAGAAAGGCCTTCCTAGGTGTCCCCACACGGTCCCCCACCCCGTTCACTTTCCTCACAGCACATCTCTGTTTGCACACTAACTCATCTTGTGCTTATTCACCGTCTTGCCCCTAAAACAAGAGCAGAGATCTGGCCAGTCTTGCTCACTGCTCGTAGCAGAGTGCCTGGCATAGTGTTTGCTCAGTAAATATTTGTTGCATCAATGGACAAACTTAGAAAATGATGCCAAGCCCTGCCTCCCACTCCACTCTCAGACCACCTAGGATTCGGAGCAGCCTTCTAACAAACGTGGGGGGTAGAAGCACATCTTCCTTGGGGCTTCTTTTGAGCCTTCTTTGTAGTCATTGAGGTTCCTGCCAGTCCTCAAAGGCACCCGTCTGTCTGCTTCCCTGGCTGTTCTGTTCGGCCTTTTGCTTCCCGGTGTCGTTTAGGTACTGGCTGGACCTGGAGTCCTCGGACACCATATGGAACATGTCCGACACTGGCTGGATCAAGGCCGCCATTGGCAGCGTGTTCTCTCCCTGGCTGCAGGGAGCCTGTGTCTTTGTGCATCAGATGGCCCAGTTTGACACTGATACCTTCCTAGAGGTAAGTCGTAACTTCTAGCTACAGCTCTCCTTTGTCTTCCCTCAAAGAGAGAGAGAGAGAGAGAGAGAGAGAGAGAGAAATGAATCCCCAGAAGAGAGGGGAGGGGGGGGAGAGAAACATGGATCAGTTGCCTCCCGCACATGCCCTGACCAGAGATCAAAATTAAACCTGCGACTTGGGTAAGTGTCCTGACTGGAAATCGAACTTGCCACTCTTGGTGCTCCAACCCACTGTGCCACACTGGCCGGGCAGTCACTCCTTTGTAAGACAGACTCTTGGGGGCTTTTGAATGTATTTCACCAGAGTGGAGAGGGAACACCCACCACACTCTTAGGCGTAAAACCCACTCTTGTGCTTCAAATTGTTCAGGATTTGCTATTGTGGCTACATCCGTGGCTGCTGAAGAATCTGACTCTAGATAACAAATTAAAAGTCGCAGGTCTAAACAAATCTGTGGCTTCTGATTAGTGAAACGAAGGCCATGACTGACAAATCCAGAGCCCTGTGTGGGGGAGGCTGGGGTGGGGTTGCCTTCTGCCAGAGCAGCCCCTGTTGCTCCCCAGGAGAGACCCTGCTAACTCAGGACCCCGTGGCCTGCAGCCAGCAGCCCCTCCGCGCAGCCAGGTTGCAGAGCAGAGGCCCCGCCTTTAACCTTTAGAAAAATGGGACTCAGGCCAATTATTTTCCACCATGAAACACCAGTTAGGTTTAACGAAATACATATCATTAAATGAACACCACACCTGTGTGGGCAGGAGGGCTCCTCACCCTGCTGTTTCGCTAGGTGGCCTGACGAGATGGCTGGCCGTCTTAACAGGAATGTCGGAACGTAGAACTGGAATCTCACAGCAGGTGGACTAAGTGTCCTGCGCGGTAGACAAGTTAACTCTGCAGTTTCAAACCTGCATTTGTAAAATGTGTGTGTGTATAATCCTCACCTAATATGTTCTTATTGATTTTAGAGAGAGAAGAAGGGAGGAGAGAGAGAAACATTGATGTGAGAAACATTGATTGGCTGCCTCCCAAACACACCCCTACTGGGGATCAAACCTGAAAACTAAAGCTTTAAAAGAAATTCATAGATTAAAAAAGCACTGAGATACATGTGCGCTGACCCGGAATCAAACCCATGAACCTTTGGGACATGGGACGACGCTCCAACCAACTGAGCCACACTTGCCAGGGCTAAAATAAATATATTTTTATAAGATCTTAAATATTTTATACTTAAAAATTTTTTGTTTAAAGGCACCTTTAATATATTATGCTAAATATAATATTATGTAAGATCTATTAACAATGTATTAATTGTTAATATTATTAATTGATATATTAATACGTTATACAATTAATCGTATTTAATATAATATTACATAAAATATTAAAATAAGGACATTCTTGCCCTAACTGGTTTGGCTCAGTGGATAGAGCGTCGGCCTGCGGACTGAAAGGTCCCAGGTTCGATTCCGGTCAAGAGCATGTACCTTGGTTTCAGGCACATCCCCAGTAGGGGGTGTGCAGGAGACAGCTGATAGATGTTTCTCTCTCATCGATGTTTCTAACTCTCTATCCCTCTCTCTTCCTCTCTGTAAAAAAATCAATAAAATATATACAAAAAATTAAAAAATAAAATAAAATAAGGACATTCTTGCCCTAGCCTGTTTACTCAGTGGTTAGAGCATCAGCCCTTGGACTGAAGGGTCCCGGGTTCAGTTCTAGTCAAGGGCACCTACCTCAGTTGCAGGCTAGATCCTAGCCCCAGTCAGGGTGCGTGCAGGAGGCAACCAATCCATGTGTCTCTCTCATATTGATGTTTCTCTGTCTCTCACCCTCCCTTCCACTCTCTCTCTCTAAAAAAAAAAAAAGAAGAAGAACATTCTTATTTTACAAATACAATGTGTGCATTTTAAGTGCTATGAAAGTGTTTATGGATTTACACTATTCTTAGTCAGAGACACTCCACTTCCTGAGAACAGCTGGAATCCAGGAAGCAAGCAACACAGTAGAAATGCTTGCTTACACTGAGAGTCATACTCGGTCCATGACACCCAGTGGCCTAGACACCCATCTGGAGGGCGTGCTCTCAGACGCTTACGTCCAATGCGGACAGACTGTCGATCCTGGGACAGAGTGGGCCCTGTCTAGAAAGAGGACCTCAAAACATTCGTATTTCTGCAGATTTGAGATGCCTTTGATTTAAGGAGCTCGAGGCATAATGAGCCCTGCAAGTCTGAAACAGCTAATCAAAGGCCTGAAAGACGCCTTGCTCATGCATTTCACCCACCCACTCAACAGGGCTGCAGTCCTTCCTAGAAGCAGTGCTGGAAGGTTCGCTTACAGATCCGGGTCGGTGCTGTCCAGGGGTCAGCACTTCAAAGTTCCCCCGCAAGAGGTCATTTGCGGCCCCAAAGTAGAATAAACCAGTTTGGGGTGGTTCTCAAATTCAACAGCTCACTTTTTGTTGAATTTGATTGTGCATGTCTATTACTGTAACATATACATATTCCTTCCAATAATTGAAAATTCCCGACAGACGTACAGTCACTAGTGAGAACTAATAAACATTTGCTTTGTTATTCCTGTGAGACGGACACAGAGAATTTGGGGCTGTAGACGTCGGCTCTGGGCGAGGCCTTTAGTTAGCCGTGTCTGACACCTGTGTCTCTTGTCCAGACGCTCACCACTTACCCCATCACCACCTTGTGCTGCGCGCCCACTGTGTACCGGATGCTCGTGCAGAAAGACCTTAAGAGGTACGTGGGCAGGAATCTGAGCTACAAGCAAAGCTATAATGGGAGCAAGACCGCCTCTCCGCAGGCGTCCTGTGCGTGTGGAGGCTGAGCAGCATCCCTGGCCTCCGCCGACTGGGTGCCAGTAGACTCCCTCTCCGCCAGCGTGGCCATGATAGGGGTCTCCAAACAGTGACTAACTCGGGGGGAGGGGGGGTTGGTCTCTGCCAGGGGCCATGTGGGTGTTTATAGCATCGTTCACAGGCCACGCAAAATTATCAGCTTAAAGACAAGCTGCTGTGTGTAGTCCATTTAATAACGCACCCGTAACGCCTCGGCGGGGCCAAGACCAAGTGATTTCTAGAGCCTCCACGGCCCGCGGGCCGGACGTTTCCCACCCCTGGTAAAATCTCGGGGAAGGGGGAGGGACAAAATGCCCCCCAGTTTAAGAATAACAGGGTTAGCCTCTAGGGGCCATTGAACATTTCCCAGGGACACCCAGTCCTACAGTTCCAGACCTCCCACACCTCCCACCCCCAAGAAACAGCCGTCACTACATCCATGCCGCCTGCACGAGAAGCCTGTGAAGTCTTATGATTCGAAGATTCTACTCAATTTGCCCAAATCACCTGGACGCCC